ACTATGCTGAAACTTTTCCCTAGGCACGCTTATATGAACATGTAGATACATACGGCCTACATACATACATACATACATACAAACATACATACATACATACATAATACGTACATAAACACATACATACATGCAGACATGCATGCATACATACACACGTATATACGTACCTATAATACATACCTATATGTATATATGTATGTATATACTTACATGTATGTATGTATGTATGTATGTATGTATGTTTGTATGTATGTTTATGCATACATACATACATACATACATACATACATACATACATACATGTTTGTGTGAAAAAATATATCTATACATGTGCAAGCATACATATTTTTCTATATACGTGTGTACGACGCGCATATATGATATCCTTGAGCCCTCCAGAGCTTCTTCTGTCGCATCGAATCTGACAGGCGGCGAGCTTTGATTGGGCGAAGAAGGCTTGAGAAGGCGTGTCGCTCGAGTTGGGTTCAGGTTTCAGCTTTAATACTCACCCGTCTCTGCTTCCGAAGAGCATAGTTACATAGCAACCGATGTCGACAGAAGAAGCGTGCAGTCATGTTGAAGTCGAAACGGCCTGGGTCATCCTGCGTCCTCGGCCGCTGTCCAGGTTGGATTGGCTGAGGCACCCAGTTGCCGAAGAGCGCTGAATTTTAGAATTGTTCCCACAAACAGAGAGGTAGTTCTCCAAGCTTCCTGCTTCTGCGCAGGAGGCAAGTCATTTCAATAACCGAAACAGACAAACGAGGGAACTTCAGAACGCTAAAACAGGTTAAAAGGCAGATAAGCGTCACCGAGCTAGGTCGTTAGTTCTTCAAGCTATGTCAAGACGACGCAGAGTTTGTTTCGGTGAGGACAACTGACAGCAGAGTCCAGTTTCCGAATATTTTCGTATTGACCTCGTGCTAGCTTGTAGGGTGTCGGAGACCATGAGCATGTTCGGATGTTCAGCCCGCTCTATCGTAGCATTAATGGCCGGGCAAGAAACATCCGATCTGCTCGTGGAGCTTTGCAAAGTTGCTTCCCCGTGGCAACATTATCCACGTCGACACGCTCTCCGCCAGAGGCACCCGCTTTTTCCTTCAATTGGCAGTCCTGCCGATTCTCCCAGGTTTCTGCGCTACGGAAACCTACCTGAACCACAATACCCTAAATAGCTTCACCCACTTGAAGCCTGGAAGCCCTAAGCACTCAGCGCCAGAGCCCGAAGCTCAACTCCACTACGGGGCTCAAAGAGCACCTGGACCGCGCCATCTTCCTGGCAAGAAAGCATCAGAAGGCGCTCCATTTTGAGTAGTCCCAAGCATTGGCGCATCGCGGAAGTTTGGGGAGCGATGATGATGACGATGATGGAGGTGGTGTGATGATGATGATGGAGATGAAGATGCCGATGGTGATGCAAATGGTGCTGATGCTACTGGTGATGGTGATACGGTCATTGTGCGACAAGATATCTACAGATCACCTGCAGCAATTAGTAACGGCCCAAGAAGCAGACGACATCTGCCCTCTGCTCAATCAGCTGCTCCGACGCCGTTAGCACATGTTTTCCGTACAGGCTCTTGTTTTAGTTGCGTTATCCTCTCGAGCGTCAGATGAAGAAGAGATTCTAATGTCGACCCAACATATACCCCGAATGTTGAAGGCCCCCTTTTCAGGTGTGCGATTGCGGGGAAATCACGATCCCGGCCCAACGCCCAGAAAGCCTGCGACTGCGAGCAAACTGTCCAACAGCCCCACAATCCAGCGAAGTCACGGTAAGCCGTGAGTTAAAGGCTGATTAAAAGATTCAACACCGACAAGCGGGGGTGCAGGTTCGGTGTTATCCATGCGCCACAGTTTGTGGGTTTGGATGGGACGTTTTGTTTACTTGTTTGTGACATTTTGTGAAGAAGTTTTCAAGCTGTCTTTCGCAAGTCCAGCAAAGAGGCCATCAAGCTCTGAAGCTCCAAGCCTGAGCTTTGAGAACTTTTGGATCGAAGTAAACTTAAGAAATTTGAAGCTGGCGGGGCTTGTGGCATCCATCCATAGACATCCATCAGACTCTAGGTGTCCCGCATAGACATTCTGTTGATGAAGAGCCATACTTTGCCGTGCCTGGACCTGTCTCTAACTGTAGTGCACAGTGCTGCAGAAGATTTCAAGACGGCCAGAGTGCTAGGTTCAGATACCATAGCACAGGATACCCGAGAAGCATAGTCTCAGGTCCTAGAGCCATAAAAACCGAATCCTTTCCGACCTTTTGCAAGGAAGAACTCCAGTCTCCAGGAACATCAAGGAACCGCGATGCGCCACTGTGGAGCCATGGGTCCCCACCCTAAGCCCGCCCTTTAACCCTGAAGCAGCAGCCTGACCAGAGCCTTCATTCATCATGCCTAAACTCCGTTTAGCTTCTAAAATTCTCTGCCCAAGGATGACGCAGCGCTCTTCGAAAATGGCCATCGCCGGAGCCGCCGCTGGCAACTTGCCTCGCATCTCCTAGCCGTGGGAACTGAGTTTTCAGTGCGCAACCACCATGGCAAAGGACTCAGCGAAGCCTTACGCAATCGGATCAGAGAGCGCAGTCGAAAACTTCGGCGACACCGACCCAAACCCAAAAGCCCGTTTAGATGTTCGCGTTCTTCATGTGGGTTTCCTTCCTTCTCCCTGAGCCCGGAGGCGGAGTGGCGCTGCTCAACGCCGCCTCGGCCTTTGTGGCAGCACCGGCCGCATCACAGCCAGCCTTGCGGGGCACCCCCGCCGCGCAGGCGCAGGCGCAGGCCCCCATGGCTTGTGAGTCGTTCTGATCGTGCTTGCTGGTGGCGGTGGGGACTGCGAGATGAGCTGGTAGTGCAGCGGTGGTGCAGTAGTCGTGCAGCAGCAGCAGCACTTCGTGGTGGTGGCGGTGCACCCTGAGGCCCATTCCGCCAATGCGGGCTCTTCGCTGTCTACGTTGGCCACCTGGCCTTGAAGACGGGCGGAGCAGAGTCTTGAGCGTTTTGGCTTGTGGGTCTCCGGTTCAGGGTTGAGGAGCATGGTCTTGTCAACGGGGTTTCGCGAGATTCACAAACAGGGTAAGGCTTGATCCACCCGAAACCCCAAAATGCCTTGAGCCCGAAAATTCGAGAGTATGGACCTGGAAGTGCATGGTCTCGCGAGGCGATTCAGGCCCATGGCAGATTCAGGAAAGTGAGCGTTTAAAGGTTGAGGGTCGCATGATTCTCGATGGTGGGCTTGCGTTCTTGCAAGCCTAACTTAACTACCGAAGCTAAGAACCGCTCATTGATATAATTAATTGCATGCTTGTGAAGGCTTCAGGACCAAGCACGGGTGCAGAGTTTCGCAGGTTCACGTTCAGGGTAACGCCCGGCGTCTGGGTGTGTGTAGTGTCGATGGTTTCAGCAGGATTTGTTATCCGAGTGCAAGGGCTTGGGTTTTGCATTTTGAGACGGATCCTCGGATACTTGGTCTGGTTATTAGGTTCCCTTTGGCGTTTGGAGGGTTGTCAATGAAGTTAGTCTCCCCCAAGCCTCTTCGAAGGTCAACGTGAAGTCGGTCCAATGTGCTCCATTTCCTGGACCCCCAACCCTGAACCCTAAACCTTAACACCCTAAGCTGCCGAGAGCGACGCTGACAATTTACATGGGCGCTCGAGGCTCCGACCGAGGCCCCCGGCCGAGCGTCTCGTCAGAACGGTGCAGGAGGGCAAAGCCTCCCGTGTACAGTACGAGGACTGTCATGACGCCGCCCCGCTAATGACTTCTCTGCCGTTACCTATAGTCTCCGTTGTAGTTCCTTTTTGGGGTTATGACCTTTTTGGAGCCTTTTTTCCTATCTGGTTAACCCGAAAAAGGAACTACAATGGAGACTAGAGGTACCGAGGCAGCAAATGAGGGACCCGAAATCCTCAACCAGTGGGGTGTTTTTGGTCTGGCCTCGGGCCGGCCTCCTGGGCCCGAATTTCCGCAAAAATGGCCCTTGCGAAAGTTGCCCTTTCAGGGGTCTGGGGGTACCCCCACAGGGCCTCCACGTGGCGACTATGATGACGCCTCCGCGTTGGCAGTCGCGGGCTCAATCGAGAACGAAGTCATCCTGTTTAGCGACTGGTGGGCAATGTGGGTTACTCTGCCTGCTGATAGCGTTGTGGGATCCGGGGCCTCCTTGGCTTTGGATTGGGATGATCGCATTCTTCGGGGAGCTCTTCTCCTTAATGCTGCTCAGTGAGGGGTGGCTTGGATGGTTACTCGAGTACTCTGATTTTCAAGCTCGTGACAGTTTGCAGGCGGGATGTGTTGGGACACATCTGCGGAAGAATAAGGGCCGAGGGGCGCGCCCCGGCAAAAAGCGGCTACGAAGATCGCTATGTGGCCGCCCGTTCTCGCAACGACGGCTTCTTCGACGTCTTCACTTTGGTGTTTCGAGGCGATGTGGCTCTCCTCGAGCTGCGCTTCGTGCCTTCGAGGCACGCTGGTGTGGCTCACGCAGACATAGGTGGGCCAGAACACGAGGTTATGCCAGGCGCCCTTCGGCGCGGCCTTGGCTGTGCAAGCAACATGGACTGAGGATGCGATCGACGGCTTTGCTGGTGGTCTCTCGTCCTCCTCACCGCCATCACCGTGCGCGTCGTGCACTGAGCAGGTTGCTTAGGATTAGGTCTCGGATAGGTTGTGGGAGCCGGACCCGAGAACCGAGAAAAACTCACAAGAAAGTTGACAGCCTGGAGCCGCCTTGCGCTGGCCCTAGTTGGTTGTACCGTTGCTTTAGCCTCTTTCGTTGGGGGCTCGGTCGTAGGGTAGGTTGTGGGAGCCGGACCCAAGGACCGAGAACAGCCTTTCAAGAAAGACTCAAAAGAGAACTTAAAAGTGATGACAAAAGCCTTGAGGGCAGCAAAGATGCCGAGGGCACAATCCGTAGTACCGGCCCGCCTGGGCCTAGATCGAGCCTCTCCCCTCCCTGCGCCCTTTGCTGCCATGGTGTTGGTGTGAGCCTGCTGGTCGTTCTTGGCTATGCCTGGATGCTCTTGGGTGGATGGCCTGGGCCTTTTGAGGCGACCGAGCTCCACTTGGAATGGCGACGTCGCGGCAAGGCCGTCTTTCCTTGCCACTTCCCTGGTGGTTTTGGCGAGCTTGCTGGAGTCACTACAGCTCTTCATGATCTTGGGCGCAATGAAAGTGGGGAGTTTTACTTGGAAGGACGAGGCGCTCCGGCTTTTCCTCGCCTTCCCCTTGGGCATTGTGGACCTTGGCTTCAGGACAGGACTGCTTTGCCTGCTTTTGGTTTTGGTTCTCCTGGTGCATCACTGGATACTCATCCTGGTGATGTTTTTGCTGGGAGAGGGTTGGCCCTACGTGCCGCCCATGGCTACGAGCAATCGGTTGCTGTGTACAGAAATCTTCGCACGTTCTTTTCGTGCGGTTTGCAGGTGCCTAGCTGGTGGTTTTCAGGTGCTGATGCTGCTCGCCTCGCCCCTTGGGCTGCCACGCGCATTGGAGAGGCAGCACACCCAGGCGCAGGAGGCAGTCGTAGGACCGCGCGTTTGAGGCGTCAGCGCCTCCTTGCAGAGGTGCAAGGCCTTGGGACGAAGCAGCTCAAGCACGTCTTGGCTCCTGTGTTGAGGGATTTGCTTGCGGAGCTGGTGCATTCAGACTACTCCTTCTCGGGGCCACGGGCTTCGAGAAAGGATGATTGGTGGGGCCACGGCGCCTCGACTTGGCATGATGAAGGCGGCCAGTGGGTCTCTGCGGGGACTGCTACCGAACGCTATGACTCCTGGTCTTGGGATGATTGGTGGGACTACAAGAATGAAACCACGGCCGGCCAGGACTTCACGACCGAGGCTTGGACTGAGGCGCCTGCGCAGCCTGTCAGGCGGGTCTCTGTGGCGTCGAAATGGCGCGGTGGGAGCGACGAGGCCCGAGACGTTCCCACTGCAGTGGTGCCGCCCAAGGGCTCGCCTTCCGAGAGCCCCAAAAAGCGATGGCGTCGCAGACGAGGGAACACACATCAGGATGACGATCGTCGCGGTGACCAGGACACCGCGCTGCACTCTTGGAAACTCAAGCGCGATGTCTGGCAGGCTAGGGCCCCTTTGGCTTTCATCGAGACCGCCAAGGACATGAGCGAGCTCTTGGATGCGGCGGCTGGGGTCTCGATCCTTGCCTGGACTTCTAATGCTGAGGTCGCGCAAGAGCTTTGGGACCTAGCTGAAGGTGAGCGAGCCGATGCGGATGGGGCGGACTGTTCGCTCACTTTGCTCTACGAGGCTAGCTCTGAGGATGCTTGGTCTCCTGACGGCACCTCAGATGTCACCATCTTGCCTGTGCCGGGGACTGTTCTTGGCAAACTTCAACACAGAAAGTTTCACATGGTGACTGCCGGTGGCGACCCTCCGCTTCTTTCCACTCGGACTCAGGGGACCTTTGCGGTGCGCAAGCCTCCTCCTTCGCTTCAGGCTTTGCGCGCCCAATCAGTGGTGATGCGCTTCACTGCTGATGCAGCCTATGGCGCCATCGCCTGGGACGAGCTTTCCAAAAATCCTGCAAAGTTTGCCCGCACCTGGGCATCGCAGCATGGCCTTCGTCAAGGTGACATCTTGGATGCCTATGGCTTCGCTAAGCGTGGCGGCTCCCGACTCTCCGGCTTGCTGCGTATCCGCAGCGAGGCCATGGCTCGAAAATTGTGGGCGGCTTCCGGATCGCTTGCGGCTGGTGCGGTCTTCTTTGTGGACCTGACTGGCGAGGACTTCCGAGACACCATTGCTGCTTGGGCCAAGGACACCGTGGTGGTTCAGTGGCAAAAGTGGGAGCCCTCCGAAACCTTCAAGGAGTATCACAGCAAGGCGGCCAAGAACGCCCCGATGGGATTGGTGCTGGGCCGTGGACTTGGGCGGCGAATTGGATGCAAAGATCCCAACTACGTCGCTGTCCCAGGCTTGTGGCGCGCTAAGGCGATCAACTACGGCTTCAGCGAGGTCAACGACTTGCTCGGCGACTTGGGATTCTCTGAGATCACCATACACGGTCGCCACAAAGGCCGAAAATCCAATGACTGGACTTTCAAAGCTGTTCGTGCTGATGGTCAAGCTATGCTACAACAGCATGTCGACTGGGGCGCCGGGGCCCAGTCCGACCTCGTCATCCTCAAGGAAAGCGCCCGCCGCGGTGCCCATGTCGATGTCAAGGCGCGCACCACGCCCATTGCTGAGCGGCGTAGCATTACTTTTGCTGACGCGCCACCCAAATCGAATGAGCGCAAGGGGCAGCAACAGCGTAAGCGCGCTGCTGCGGCCACTTCTTCTCCCGCAGGGCCTTCTTCTCCTGCTGTGCCTTCGGCTACCGTCCTGAACCCTTCGGATGCGCAGAACTCCAGGGGTCAAAAACGTGCTGGGCCCGAGGACGAAGGCAAGATGAATGTTGATGCAGAGACAGGAAATGGCCCTGCCGATGCTCAGCATTGGAGTCCTGCGGCTACGTTGTTTGAAAATCCGGGAGGAGGAAATTGCCTCTTCTACTCGATGGCACAATGCGGTTTCGAGGGCAAAAGCATCGACGACGTCACCCATCGCCAGATGAGACGGTTTGCACGCAGGTGCCTGGAATCGTTTGCCGCTGACTTCGAGGAGATTTGGAAGGAGGGTGGCGCCTACAACACGCTGGGTCGGACGACGAGTGATCTTACTTGGCAAACCTTCCTCGAGGAAGTTTCGGCCAGTGCTAGCTGGGGGGGGGCTTTAGAGCTCAGTGCGGTTGCCCGTGCCACCAGCACGCGTACGTGGGTGTATGAGAAGAAAGATGGCTCTCTCAGGTTGATCTACCCGGAGGGTGATGGAGGCTTTGTTCTCTTGCAGTACGATGAGGAGCAGCAACACTGGCAGGCCTTCCGCGACGCTGACGAGAAGGCCCTCCTCACCAGGTACTACGATATATCGTGCCATTGGCGGGCAGCCCCTGAACCCCAAGACCACGCTGCTGCGAGGAGGTGGACGTGAACTTCATCTTTCGCTTTCGGATTGTGCTTCTACGTCAAGACGGCCTCGGCTCTCTGACTGCGCCTCGTCAAAAGGCACAACCCGACAACCCTCGGCTCCGCAGGAGGGCTTTGCTTCAGGGCTCCGTTCTTCTGGGCGTCTGTGCCTCTCAGACTGTGCTTCTTCTACCCCTGGCGTTGCCCCTTCGAGCTCGGGGAACAAGTCTGGCTGCTGACTGTGCTTCTGGTGGCTCGGGCTCTGTGCAGACGTGCAGAACTCCAAGGCGAGGTACTGGGCTCTCTGGTGGCGCTACGGCTAAGTCCGCTCCACTTCGTCCTCGACTTGCTGACTGCGCTTCTGTTGTTGCTGCACGTCCTGTGGTTGGGCCGAGCTGCCAGGACTCAGCGTTTGCTAAAGGCTCTTGCCCCTCCGAGGACCAGGACCTGACTGGCTTTGAGGGGGTGCTTTGTGACGAGGCTGGTCTTCAAGTGAGGCCTCCGGGTAGTGCTGAACTGCGCACTTTGCGCAAGGATGGCTCGAAGGTGTTGCCCAAGTCTCGCTACTCTGAAAATGGCCAGTTTGTTGCTTCCTGTGAGCTCTGCCCTTGGCGGGTTGTTTGCAAGTCTGCTGCTCATGCTGCTGTCCGGCACTACGATCACTATGGAAGGTGCCACCCGACACACAAGCGACCCATCCAGCATCGCAGGTCGGTGAACGTTGGACCAGTAGGGCCTCGCACTTCGCTCAGCTGGAAGTGTCCGTTTTGTGAGGAAGGCATCCCCAAGAGCCTGAAGGCTAGCATTCACGCGGTGCGCAAGGCTGTGCGTCGTCATCGGCAGGCTCGACATGCTGATGTGTCATATGGGGCCTGGAGGAAAGCCAACAAGGCCCCCTCGAGAGCTCCTACTGACAATTTTGCCAACAGGTTTACGCAGATGAATCGCACCGCTGCCGTTCACATTGCCCGTGCCAAGGGCAAGTCCGACGTGGTGATTTTTCGGCGTCCTGTCCTTCAGAAGAACGAGCACCCGGTTGGTCTTCGACTTGTGTCAGCTTTTCGTTGCCCTCGCCCGGACTGTCGAGGCGTCTACAAGACTTATGAAATTCATATGCTAATAACAATAGGATTCCTGGGAGACATCAAAATCAAAAAATACAAAAAACATAAAAAATAAATAGAAAATAAATAGAAAATAAATCGGTTCAAAATCGTCCAAAATCAACCCAAATCCTGTTCCGATTTTGATGATACATATGAAAATCGACAACCAAATCGCTTCGATTTTGTTGATACTATTGAAAATCAAAAAACAATCGCTTCGATTTTGTTGATACCATCGAAAATAAAAAAATCGCTTCGATTTTGTTGATACCATTGAAAATAAAAAATCGTTTTGATTTGTCTTCTTGGCCTCACATCATTTCGATTCATGGCCGTTGGAATGGATGACATGCTGATGCCCGAGCACTCTACTGTTTTGGCAGAGTCACTCGCGATGATTCAGGCGGGCTCCGTTTTAAGCTCACCATTACGCATTAAT